CTAATCAATAATAGTTTAGAGCATTTTTTCATATGACTATAGATGGCTTTAATTTCTTCATCTTAGAACTGCCTGTTTATCAATTGGGGAATGACTTGTATTCTTATAAATTTGACTTAATTCTCTATATATTTTAGAAATGAGACCCTTATCAGAGGTTGTAAAAATTCTTTCCCAATTTTCTACTTTCCTTCTAATCTTGGTTGCATTGGCTTTGTTTGTGCAAAAACTTTTCAATTTAATATAATCAAAGTTATCCATTTTGCTTCTTATAATGTTCTCTATCTCCTGTTGGGTCATGAATTTTTCTGTTCTCTATAAATCTGATAGGTAAACTATTCCTTGCTCTCCCAGTTTGCTCACAGTATCAGCCTTTATATCTAAATCATGAACTCATTTTGACTTTATTTTGGTATATGGTGTGAGATTTTGCTCTATGCCTAGTCTCTGCCACACTCTTTTCCAGTTTTCCCAGCAGTTTTTGTCAAAGAGTGAGTTCTTATCTCAGAAGCTAGGGTCTTGGGTTTATCAAATAATAGATTACTATAATCATTGACTACTGTGTCTTGCATACTTAACCTATTCCATTGATCCACTACTCTATTTCTTAGCCAGTACCAACCAGTTTTGATGATTGCTGCCTTATAATACAATTTAAGATCTGGAATGGCTAGGCCTCCTTTCCCGGCATTTCTATATATTACCAACAAAGCCCAACAGCAAGAGATAGAGAAATTCCATTTAAAGTTACTGTAGACGTTATAAAATATTTAGGAGCCTACCTACCAAAACAAACTCAGGAACTATATGAACAGAATTTCAAAACACTTTTCACACAAATAAAGTCAGATCTAAATAACTGGAAAAACATCAGTTGCTCATGGGTAGGCCGAGCTAATGTAATAAAAATGACAATTCTACTTAAGCTAATTTACTTATTTAGTGCCATACCAATCAAACTATCAAAAAATTATTTTATAGAGTTAGAAAAAAATAATAAGATTCATTTGGAATAACGAAAGATCCAGAGCATCAAGGGAACTAATGAAAAGAAATTCAGGGGAAGGTGGCCAGCTCATTTTTTGATGAACTACAGTACTATCTATGTATTTCCCTTGTTCTATACTTGTAAAATTGATTTTTTGAACCCAAGTAAGACTTTATTATTTCTCCCTATTAATGAATTTCATCTAATTAGATAAGGATCTTTAAAAATCTGATTCTATCATTCAGCATATGTACTCCCTCCCAACTATGTGCTATCTGCACATTTGAAAGACTCTTCATCCAAATCATTCATTAAAATGTTAAACGCCTCATGGTCAAGAACAAAAACTAGGACCTACAACTGAAGACCTACCTGTAATCTGACATCAACATATTTAGTGACAACTCTGAGTCTGGTCATTTTATCAATTCCAAATCCACCTAAATGTTTTGTCATTTAACCCACATCTCTCCATTTTGTTCATAAGGAGAGAATGGGAAACTTCGTCAAATGATTGCTGAAATCCAGGTAAATTATATTTACATCATTCTTCTAATTAACCAATCTAGTAACCCTGTTAATAAAGGACATGAGATTTTCCATATCAATCATCTTTCTCCTTCATTTGTTCTGGTTCCATTCCTTAAGATAGTTCTATGCAACCTCAATCTCAGTGTGCCCCAAACTGAACAAATAAACATTTTCAACTACCTCTGTTCTTTCTGACTTTTTCATTTGTCCACATTGCCTTCCCTATCACCAGGCCTAAATCTTTTGAATAATCTTGGCTTCCTCCCTTTCCTTTGATTCCCAGATCTATCATAGAATTATAGAGTTTGAGTGTTTTAGTCCAAACTACACAAGAAAGGAATCCCCATTATAACATAAGCAACAAATGGTCATTTAACCTCTCCTTGAAGACCTCCAAGAAATAGGAACCTGCATCTGGTCACTAAAGCCCTATCATTCCCATCCCTATACTAAACTAACTCTTACATCCAGATTCTTCATTCTATTCCCACTGGCACCAGTGGAATTTAAGACTTGACTACTTTTTTCTTGGACAATCACAAAACCTACTAGCCAGTTTTCCTACTACTAAATTATCCTCCCTCCCTTCCCCAATTCATTCCACACACCACTGCCAGATATGAACTTGCAGATTACTCTGTACCTCTCTTATCGTATTTTCATTCTTTACCTGTCATTACAGTTATTTGTGTATGTGTTTAATGCTCCCTAGGAGATTGTAAGGGGGAGCTAGATTGCTCAGTGGTTAGAACTCTGGGCCTGAAGTCAGGAAGACCTGAGTTCAAATCCAGCCTTAGACACTTGACTCTGGACAAGTCACCCTCTGTTTGCCTTAATCCATTAGAGAAGGAAATGGTAAACCACTCCAATATCTTTGCCAAGAAAATCCCATGGATGAGAAGATTCACAGGGTCACGAAGAGTCAGACATGACTGAATGACTCAACAATTAGGTTACAATCTCCATAGAATTAAGACCATGTCTAATACTTCTTTATAACATTAATAGTTTCTTAGCCCAGTGTCCTTCACACAGTAGGTATTTGGTAATATTTGTTGAATGGATGAATATATTCCCAGGCAACTTTGAGATGTATTATTTTTGGATAAAGTTTCTTTTACAGAGAAAATAATAATAAAAAAAATAAACCATGTGTCCTTGCAAGTATTCTGAGTTCACATCTTTTTCCATTGTCCTTTCATATTTTCTTTCTGATCTATTTTTCTTTTTATATGTGCTAATTAAAAGAATCATTATTTCCTTTTTCTCCTTTCACCCTTTCTCCCTCTTTTCATTTGTGAGTATCAAACGCGATAATATTTGTAAAGCAGCATTGTGCGCAACATAAAGTAGGTGCTTAATAAATGTTTGTTTTATGGTTAATTTGGAAATTCGATTTGTATGACTTCATATTTAATGGGTTTTGTATTCCTTGCTTTCTCAATGGGTGAGGGAAAGAATGAGAAAAGGGAGAGAATTTGGAACTAAAAATAAAAGAAAATTGAATTTAAAAAAGGAAAAAATGTTTTCCCCTCACACATACACACCCCCATCATCACTATCTAACCCTCATTAATTTATAGATATTTTATTGCTCATGGAATATTTTTGTGGGGCTAGGCACCATCACAATTCAGTGTTTACTTATCTCTCTGCAGTAATAACTGGCATTTTCAATAGTGCTTTACATACACAATCTCAAATCCTCACAATGACCCTTTAAGGTAGGTATTATTACCCCCATTTTACAGAGAAGAAAACTGAGACACAGAAAAGTTATATGGCTCACCCACATTCTCACGGCAAATAAGTGTCAAAAACAGCACCTAAATCCAAGTCTTCATCATTCCAAGGCCAGCATTCTATCTATTATGCCATGTTGTCTGTCTAAGATGCCTTAGAGTTACCACCAATTACTATCCATCAGCCAACTTCTTTGACTCTCTTTTCAATAGTTGATATCACAGTGACAGTAATTTTATTGAGGCTTATCTCATTCAGGGTTAAATTGTCCAATTCCTGCAGTTGCCATCTATGGAAAAGGATTAAACTAAAACCCAAGTAACTCACTAGTGGCTATTTTCTCAACAAATCATTTACCAGGTAATTACTTGGTTCCCGGTCTAGCCCTATGCCAATTAGAGCCAACCATTCTATTCTCTCATATGTTGATTTGATGAAGGTCTATTTATTTAGTTTATTCCTATTCTATACCTGCATCTTCCTCCTAATTGTACTTACTACAAGCTATTTACCATTTCTTCTTGTATGATTCCTCTGAATACTTTCCAAAGCAGTTGTTCCCATAGTCTGTAACAACTTTCTAGCTGCCTGTTTGTCTTTCTATGGCTTCAAACCAGTTCTGGCCATATTCTTCTTTTTTTTTAAATAATATTTTATTTTCCCCCAGTTACACGTGAAGATAATTATTAACATTCATTTTTAAAAATTTTGAGTTCCAAATTTTCTCTCTTCTTTCCTCCCTCCCTCAATTTTTAAAAATTTTTATTAATTTATTTTGATTTATCAACAATCACTTCCATATGCCCCTGAGTTCAAAATTTTTCTCCCCCTTCTTCCCCACCACCCTTCCAAAGACGGCGCACAATCCCTTATAGGCTACACACCCACATTCCCATGAAATATATTTTCATACCAGTGAAGTTGTAAGCAAAAATTAAAACCAACAGGAGGAACCATCAGAAAGAGGAAACAAAACTCAACAGAAGAGAAAAAAAATGATAACAATTCAACTTCCATAGTTCTTTCCCTGGACGTGGACTCTCCTTCCCTCAATTGCCCCATCCCTGAGACAGTAAGCAATTTGATATGTTATACATGTTCAATCATGCAAAACATATTAACATATTAGTCATGTTGTGAAAAACACAGACTCAAAAGAAAATATACACAAAATAAAAAATAGTATGCTTTGATTTGTTTTCAGACGCCATCAGTTCTTTCTCTGGAGTCAGATAGCATTTTTGATTATGAGTCCTCTGGAATTGCACTGGGTTGTTGTATTGCTGAGAATAGTTGTCATTCACAGTTGATCATCATACAGTATTGCTGTTACTGGGTGCAATGTTCTCCTGGTTCTGCTCACTTCACTTTGCATCAGTTCATATAAGTCTTCCCAGGTTTTTCTGAAATCCGTCTCTGGCCTTCTTCTTTAAGCAGAGACTATAGGACCTTGGGATCCTTGTTGGATGTTTAGAAGGGATTTTTCTCCAAGAGTGAGTTAGACTAGAATAGATGATCTCTGAGCTTCCTTCCAAATCTAAGCTATGAAGATTCTATTTCTACAAGAAAAATACTATAAAAGTTTCTTAGGAAAACTCATCATTGCTTCAGGAGTTTGGCAGGAATCTAAACTTCCATACCCTCAATTGTAAGATGGGGATGATACAGCGCCTACTTGATAGGATTGTTGTGAGGATCAAGTGAGATAATATATGTAAAGTAATTTGCAAACCTTATAATGACATATAAATGCTGGCTATTATTATTAATTATTATTTTATTATATTCCATGGAAGTAAAGACAGAAATGGCCCAGGAATATGTCACCCTCTTACTGTTGTTGTTTTATGTGTGGTTTTTGACAGACCATTGTAGGTGGATAAAATGATTGCTTTTTGTAGTTGAATAAAAATCTTGAGATGGTAAGTTCATCTTCTGTGGGATCACGGAAAATATACTTGAGACAACTTCTACAACAGACTAGATGATGAGAATGGCTTTTTTACCTCCCCTGTTCCAACATGATTTTGGTTTCTTCATCATGGTTTTTAGAGTACATCACAACCAAGGTTCTCCTCCCATCATGCCTTGAGGTCCCAGGTCCAAAGGGCTGTAAAGATATAAAAAGATGAGAGGGACCACAGGATAGTTCCATAGGGAGCCAAAGGATCATAGAATGCTACAAGTGGAAGGAATCTTGGAAATCTAAGCCTTTCCTTTTATAGATAGAGCAACAGAGGCTCACAGAGGTCAGATTTCTAGTTCCCAGGGCCTTGCAAATAGTAGGTGCTCAAGACATTGTTTTAATTTGATAGTGACTTGCCTGAGGGCAGAGATCTAGCTAGTTAACAGTCAGTTAGCCAACTAGTACTTATTAAGCACTTACTTGGTCCCAGGCTCTGTGCTAAACACTGGGGATTTATAAAAACAAAACAAAAACTCATGGCTCTCGGCCTCAAGAAGCTCACATTCAACTGGGGGGACATCATGCAAATAACTGTACATACAAAGCTATAGACAGTTTAGATGGAGGTAATCCCAGGTGGAAAACACTAACAGTGAGGAGGATTGGGAGAAACCTCCTATCAAAAGTGGGATTTGAGATGAGTTTTGAAGGAGGCCAAGGAAGCCATGAGGTGGAAGTGAGCAGGGAGAGCACTCCAGGCATGGGGACAGCCAATGAAAAGACAAAGAGTTGAGACATGGATGATTGTGTTCAAAGAACATCAAAGAGACCAATGGGACTAGAAAGCATAGAAAAAGAGGGAAGTAAAGTGTAAGAAGAGGAAAGGTAGGAAGGGGCCAGAATGTGAAGGACTTTGAAAAGGTAAACAAAGATTTTATATTTGATCCTGGAGGTAATAGGGAGCCAATGAAATTTGTTGAGAAGGGCAGTGACATGGTTAGACCTGTGCTTTAAGAAAATCACTTTGGCAGCTGAATGGTCTGCAGTGAAGAGAGACTTGAGGCACGGAGACCAGTCAAAAGGCCATTGCAATAGTTCAGATGTGAAATAACGGGAATTTGCACCAGGGTGTTGGCTCTCTGTGTGGAAAAAAAGGAATCTTTATGACAGATGTTTGGAAGGCAAAGGAAAGGCTTCTGAGTTCCCCTGATTGCTGGTCCAGTACTTTGAAGATAGGAGTCTCCCCAAAAGCCTTACCACCTTTCTCTGGAGTACAACGCATTTGTGCAATATGGCAGCAAACAGCATGTCCGCTAGGTCTAATATTTTTTGGCACTTGAACTGGAGAATAAATCAACCTATCTCCTGACATAGGTGACAAAAACATTCTCTTGGTCTAGCTCTGTAACATACACAAAATATGAACATTCTCACTCCAAGTGGCTATAGTCTGGTTAATGAAAGGAACTAGGATGTAGGGGATGAAACTGCATTGATTTGTGCTCTGACACCTTAAACCAGGGTCTGTGTAGGGATTCTTAACCCAGGACTCGGGACTTATTTTTGAAATCATTCTGAGAAGAGATTCATGGGCTTTTACCAGACTTTCAAAAGGATCTGTGACACACAAAAAGGTTAAGATGTCCTGGTCATTGGAGTTTTTAATTTTCTATTACTTTGTGCTTCAAAACATGAACTTAAAGTGGAGAGAGCTGGGCTTTGGTACCAGTTCATGCCCCAGCTCTCTGGCCGACCTTAACTTTCACATGTTATTGAGGCAGTGAATTCTAGTGAGATTCCTATATTTGGAGCCTGGAAGACCCAGGCTTGAAATGTGCCACTACCTCACTTAATTTTTTTGAGCCTCAGTTTCCTTATCTGTAAAATGGAGTTGATAATATCTGTAGGAGTCACCTCATAGGGTTGTCGGGAGAGTCAAATGAGAGAAAATTTCTGAAGATCTCTGTAAATGTCAGTTGTAATGGTGACTCTGTTTTCTAGTCTGCAACCTGGAAATTATGGTATTCTACCTTCTCAGTCATTGTCCCTTTTCCCCAAGCCCGCAGGGATTATGTGAGAACTAATTTAATTAGATATAAAAACAAGTTCTGTTTGGGTCCTTGAGCTTTTTGGAGAAAAGCCCTGTATAAATATGACACCTTTTGTTATTTGTAGCCCAGGGGATTTACAAAAAAGAAGTCAAGAATTTTTAGAGGCAGATTTTTTGAGGCAGAAAATAGCAGTTGGAAAAAACAACCTGATGCATAGAGCACGGCGTCCTTATCAAGCAGGCAGCATTATCTTTCCAAGGCAGGCCCTGAGCATGCAACACCTGGCTCACAGATTTCCTGCCTCTTCACATTTGTATTTTGAAGGAAAGAGACCTTTACCCTGACCTGTCAAGCAATGATCTTCAGCAAATGGCAAAAAGCCCTGGATTTGTACTCAGGAAACCCACATTTGAGGCTTGCTTCTGGCACTGAACATTGTTCAGCCTCTCTGAGCCTCAGTTTCCTCATCTGTAGAATGGGGATATAATAATTTTACAGTCTGTGTTCTAGGGGGGATTAAGAGGATCACATGAAATCACATAAACCACTAACTCTTAAATGGGAGTTATTAACATCACTGTTCGATGAAGCTCCAAAAGAGGTTTAGTAACTTGGTTAGATTGATATGGTAAATAAATAACATATCCCTTTGAACTCAATCAATCAAGAAGTATTTATTGTGTCTATTATGTGCCAGGCACTGCGTTAGATGCTGGGAAGAAAAAGAATGCGACAATCCGCACTTGCAACAAGCTTACATTCTAATGGGAAACAACAAGGACACATGTAAGCATATACAGAATAATAAGTATAAAATCAATGAATACAAGGTAGTTAGGGAAAGAAGTCATTAGCTGTTCAGGGGATCAGGAAAAGCTTCATATAGAAGGTAAGACTTGAGCTTCATCTCAAAGGAGCAGGACTCTCTATGAGGCAGAGGGGAAGGAGGGAGTGCATTCCAGGCATGGAGAATGATAGTCAGGGCAAAGGCGCAGAGATGGGAGATGTAGGTAAATCATAGCTATAGCATTCCACTAAGAGAGAAGGGAAGAAGCACCTACTATGTGCCAGCCATTGTGCTAAGTTCTTTACAAATATTATCTCATTCTATCCTCACAACAACCACAGGAGGTGGGTACTCTTATTTGTCCCCATTTTCTAACAGATAAGGTGAGGCAGATAAAGTGAAGTAACTTATCTCTGGGTCACACAGCTAGTAAACACCTGAGGCTGCATTTGAATTTAGGTCTTCTGGACTCCAGCCCAGGCCTCTATCCACTAAGCTAACTGAGTTACCCTGCCAATAACTTTTTCAAAGAAGAAAATGAGGTTGGTCTGGCATAACTGATTCTTGGTGAAGCCGTCTTCCCCATTTGTTATCAGTGCTTCATTTTCCAGATGTTCACTATCCCTTTAATAATGTCCAAATTTTTTTTTGCTGGAAATCAGTATCAACATCACTCGACCATCATTTACAATCTATTCTCTCTTTTTTGAAAATTGAGATATTTGTCCCTATCCAGTCTTCCATTATCCATGCCTCCCACATTCTCTCTCTGTCTCTCTGTCTCTGTCTCTGTCTCTCTCTCTCTCTCTCTCTCTCTCTCTCTCTCTCTCTCTCTCTCTTCCTCCCTCCCCACACACCCCCGTATACATATATATGGATATGGATATATCCATATATATAAAGTATATAAATTCTTTCAATAACCTGGGATAAATTAACCTAGGCCTAGTTATTTAAACTCATCAAATGTAGTTCTGGGCTCTGTTACTGTCTCTTCCAGTTCAAAGATCATTCCTGTTGGCAGAGAAAGCAGAAGAGCTAGGCAGATGTGCCTTTTCTCCTTGTCATCAGTTATTGTATGACCTGACCCTTCAGCATCCCTCTATCCTTTGATTCTCCCCTTTTCTCCAGTATAGGACCAGAGGATGGGGTGTATGTGTGTGGGAGATTTCCTTGCCAACCTCAGCCTCGGTATCTGAGCTCTTGATACTATTCTTACAGCTCCATGCTCTTCTCTTGTTTTTTTTCCTACTACTTGCCCTTGTTTTCAGATTCTGTATTGTTGGTTGATAAATTTCCTATACATGCCCGACAAATCTTGAGCTAACTCCCCCACTTCTTCCTTGCTGAAATTTTTTCTGGTTGGGTCTTCAGAAGCCCATATGTTACTAGTTGGGATTGGGACCATACCTTGAAGGATGGCAAGGATTTGGTGAGATGGGCAAGAAGGCACTATAGGAAAGAAAAGATCATGAGCAAAAATACAGAGGCAGAAATGACCATGGTCTTTAAGTTTATTATTCCCCAGGTTACAAATGTATGTAATTTAATGTATGTAAATAACTTTGTAAACCTTAAAGGGCTAAAATAATATCAGTTATTTTTATTGTTATTATTATTATTCATTGTATTATTTATAAGGAATCTTTAGAGGAAAAGCACTATGTGGGTCTAAAATATAAATGGGGCTGGCTCTAGGCAAAATTATAAATCAGGTGAAGTTTATTTTTAGTGTCCCCATTCTGCCTTCTTTTCCCTTAAACTTTACCCCTCCTTCAAACATACATACATAGTACTCAGTACTTTCATGTTTTTCCTTCTGTCCCAGAGGAAAATATCTGAAAAATTAAATCATACTAAGGTGTAAGTAACTAGACATGTGACTTTTCCCAAAGGTGTTTGCATTTTTTTTAAGTATCTCAAGCAAAGAGATTTCTAAAGCCAAAGGAATACATCTCTAATCATGGAATCTCAGCATTGGTGACAAGCCCAGATCTCCTTTGGTACGGGAATTCACTGAGTCATGTCAGATGGGTGGTTGCCAAGTACCTCCTGAGTACATCTATGGTCCTATGATGCTACTCCATCAATATGTAATGTAAGCTCTTCATCCTGAGTTAATTAATAGCATTTCTCTAGCTTTTCCAAATAACTTTTCCAAGACTGAATTTTCAAGAGGCCAGTTTTTCCTTTTCCTTTATTTTGTCCATCCAAGTACGTGTCCAGAGATGCTGCAGTTCTACCCAGGATGCCACATAGTTAGAGTCATATTCCTTCTATGAAGCTCCTTTACTGGTTCCTAACTTTCTGATAAGTTCTTTGGGGCATATCTTTCTTTTTCATTATGGATAGTTTCATTCATAGTCAAACCCATCCACTTTCTGTGATCAGGACCTTCTTTTCAATAGTCGAAAGATCTCTGGACTTGGAATTGGGAGAAGAGTGTTCAAATCTTACTCAGTTTAGATGTTGCCTAGCTGTATGGCCATCCTTGGGGATTTCCTGGGTCTCATTCTCCTCTTCTGTAAAATGGGAATAATATTACTCCTTGTCGCAAGGGGCAAATGTGTTTTCAACATTAAAATTCTATATACATCTGATCTGCAATTTATCTTAACACCCTACTTTTCTACACAACCCATCCAACAACACAGCTGAGAACGTGAGAAATCAAAATAGATATGGAAAAGTCTGGGAACTAAAAAGTTGGTCTACTTTACTCAAAAGAAAGTCACTCAGAGCCTATCTACCATGATTTTAGATTTTAGATGGATCATTAATCTGGAGTTGGAAGAGACCTCAGAGGCCATCCAGGTCAATGCTTTAATTTTATAGACGAGAAAACTGAGGTCCAGGGAGGTTGTGACATGCCTAAAGTCACACAGATAGCATAAAAGATGGGATTTAAACTTCCAGCCTCTGACCCTGGAGTCCCTTCTCTTTTGACTATACCATGCTGCCTCATACAATTATTATTTTTTTTCTTTTGCTTTTTGGTGAGGCTATCAGGGTTAAGTGACTTGCCCAGGGTCACACAGCTAGTAAGTGCCTGAGATCGGCTCTGAATTCAGGTCCTCCTGACTCCAGGGCCAGTGCTGTATCCACTGGGTCATCCAGCCACCCCTTCATACAATTCTAATGAGTATGGTAAACTGGTTTGCTAGCCTATAGAAAATTGTTGCTGTTATTCAGTCATGTCCGACTCTTTGGGACCCCATTTGAGGTTTTCTTGGCAAAGACCCTGGAGTGGCTTGCCATTTCCTTCTCTAGATCATTTTACACATGAGGAAACTGAGGCAAATAGGATAAAGTGACTTGCCCAGAGTCACACAGCTAGTAAGAGTTTGAGGTCAGATTTGAACTCAGGAAGATGAGTCTTCCTAACTTCAGGATGCATACTCTATCCACTGAGCCACTTAGCTGCCTCCGTATAGAAATTAAAAGCCACAAATTCGTGTGTGCATCAAGGAGTTGGGGGGGGGATAGGTGGGGCAGGCAGTGAAGGACCACAAAATATAGCAAGAAATGACCCTCATAGCTTAAAAGAGGCTTGAGGCTGGGATTCTTATAATCTAGCCAATAAATCAATAGTTTACTAATGTTCAGACTCCTTAAGAGTGGATGTTCTAATAAACCATGTCTTAGGGGCAGCTAGGTGGCACAGTGGATAGAGTCCGGCCTTGAAGTCAGGAGGACCTGAGTTCAATTCCAGTCTCAGTCACACAACACACAACATGTACTAGCTGTGTGACCCTGGGCAAGTCACTTAACCCCAATTGCCCAGCAAAAAGCAAACAAAAAAAAAGAGGCTTGAAAAAAATTTAGGCGGCTATAAGAACTAAAACCAAAACAGTGGCATGAAGCCATTGATTATAAGGGCAAGCCACCCATAAATAGCCCTTTGGGGCATCAATGAGTCACAATTTGTTATGGAAATTAATGCACATAATGATGGCCCAGACTTACCAAAGAAAGATATTATTAAGCATCTATTATGTGCCTGTCACAGTACTAAGCACTAGGGATACAAATAAAATCAAGCTAGACAATCCTTTCCCTTAAGGAGCTTACATTCCATGAATAAACTACAACAAATAAAAGGGAAGTAGAAAGCGACAAGCGGGCAGCAAGGTGGTGCAGTGTATAGAGTGCCCGTCCTGGAGTCAGGAGGACCCGAGTTCACATCTGTTTCAGCTGTGTGATCCTGAGCAGGTCACTTAACCTTGTTTGCCTCAATTTCCCCATCTGTAAAATGAGCTGGAGAAGGAAATGACAAACCACTCCAGTATCTTTTGCCAAGAAAACCCCAAAAGGGGTCACAAAGAGTCCAACATGACCGAAAGTGACTAAACAACAAAAGGAAAGGGGGGAGAGAAAAGAGAGGAGGGAAAGGGCAAGGCAACCAAGGAGGAGAAGTTGGGAGAGTGAGTTGAGTTGAGAGTGAAATAAGCAGGGCTATCACCCCTCATAAAATGGTGGTCGACACTAGGCATCACCAGGGAGTAGAGTGGGCTTCAAGGCTGAGGTTTCTCCAGTGGAAAGGTAGCTGGCAAGGAAGAAAATTTTGTGTAATGTGTTCTATTTAAGAAGGCAAGGAAGGACATGATAAATTTTAGAAAGAATTCTATCAAAAGTCAAAATTTGTAAAAAGAATGTTTGGCACTTTATGGGGATACACTTCAATTTAACTAGAAAATTCACCACCCTGCCCAACAATACAGGGAAAACAAGGTGTTATTGTACTTCCCCTTTTTGAAAACTCAACCCCAAAGGGCAGCTAGGTGGTGCAGTGGATAGGGCACCGGCCCTGAAGTCAGGAGGACCTGAGTTCAAATCCGACCTCAGACCAAACACTTGACACTTACTAGCCGTGTGACGCTGGGCAAGTCACTTAACCCCAATTGCCTTTAAAAAAGAAAAAGAAAACTCAGTCCTAGGATAGTTTTTAAATCTTCTCAGATGATGTGTGAATTCCAGCTCAGGACACAAATTCTGAATGGTTTCACATGCCATTTATACCGGCATAGACAGGGTACCTTGTGTAGATGTGACATATATCCTCAGTTATGAGTATGGTTACAGCAATGCTGTTGTTCCTTCTTCATCCATGACAAAAACCCTGATTACCAGCTAAGTATGCTGGAGCCACCTAGGAACCAGAGAAAGACGATTGTGAAATTGCCAGTGCGAGCATTTCCATCTCAGAAATCAGCAAAGCTACAAATAGAGGCTTGGTTAGTTGTTTTATTGAATGTCAGGATTTCATAAAGTGATGGAAGAAAATGTTAATTATGCAGATTTAACTTTTTTTTTTTTAGGCAATTGGGGTTAAGTGACTTGCCAAGGGTCACATAGCTAGTAAGTGTCAAGTGTTTTGTCTGAGGCCAGATTTGAACTAGGGTCCTCCTGACTTCAGGGCTGGTGCTCTATCCACCGCACTACCTAGCTGCCCCCAGACTTAACTTTAAGAAGTGTCTTACATACATTTTTCTCCCTAGAGAGCTGATTGTTAAACATTTACCACAACACCCTTAATTATAACCTACCAAACTGATAAAATACATTTGGGGATCCTATTACAGCATCCTCCATATATTTACCAAATATTCAATCATTTCCCAAGATTTGCTGTCATCACTTTTGCCTCTCTAACAGCTAGCATCATGTTTCTCTTTACTGTGTCAGAATGGCAAACTCTGAAGAATAGGACTTTTCAGGAAGGATATTGCAAAATCTGACAACGCCAATCTGTTGGGCTAAAACATTTTTCCTGGAGTCCTTTCAGGAATGTGTCACAGAGGGTGGGAAGATCAGTGGGGGAACAGAGAGTACAAGGCACCAATGGTCAGGTAAGAAAGTATTTGCACATTCCTTTTCAAAACCCAGTCGAGACCATTAATCTCCATTTAAATCAGATGGTGGATGGATCACAGCCCATCACAGGACTTGCTTCAAAGAGCTAGAAACGTTCTGATCAAAATAAAAGCCGTAGGTCAGGGAATGGGTGAGGACGGTGAGTTCTAGAGAAGGATAATGTCTGTTTTCAACCTCCATCGAATCTGCCAGTAGTTATTATTCTACAGCAGAACAGCACAAACTCATATCTCAGTGTCAACAAGGTGGGGGGATCCTGAAATAGATTTGGGAGGAGAGATGCTGAAGCTGAATTTCCGTGTGAACCACTGAATATTTTTATATAGAGATATATAAATACCAGAAATCCTTTGCTTTCTGATTCCAAGTTCACCTTCCTCATATGGCCCCTAGTTTCCTTTAAGGGGGATGTGGAGCTGTGTTGTTGTACAGAGAGAAGCTTAAGGCATTGTTGTGTCCAAATAGTATCAGGTTGTTGACTTTTCCATTGAGTTTCCCAGGCTCCACCAGGGTGGAGGATGCTGGCAGGAAAGTCATGTGTCCCCACACAGAGTGCCCTGTGGGGCTCTCAGTTCTCTGCAGGGGAATGGGGGCAAGAAGCTACTCTCCACTAGGAGGAATTTTACCAGACTTAATGAATCCTAAAGAAAGGAACCAAATTTAAGGGGCCGGGACGTAGGGGAAAGCTTTCTTTTTTGTCCCTCTCCCACTTCTCTCTCCCAGACCTATAGGCTTTTAAAAAGACATGGATTAGGGCAGCTAGGTGGCACAGTGCATAAAGCACTGGCCTTGGAATCAGGAGGACCTGAGTTTAAATCTGACCTCAGATACATAACATTCACTAGCTATGTGACTCTGGGCAAGTCACTTAACCCCAATTGCCTCACCAAAAAAACCCCCAAAACAAACAAAAAAGACATGGATCAAACATGGCACCATGAAAATATTAATCATCCGGGGCATTCTAAACCACTGGTGGTTCTTACAAAGATCGATGTTTCTGGTTAAGTGCCACCTCCCTCATCCATTATTTCCCATTCCAAGGCCCCTCGAGGGGTTGAGACTTTGCTTGTGGAGGGGTGGAGAGAAGCATCTGAAGGACTGTTCTAGAGTCACAAGGTTGCCTGTGAAGTGATGAGGATGGCACACTTACAGAGCATTTTCAATTGATGCTCTATTTCTTGAGCTGGAAGGGACCTTGGAAATCACCATTCCAAACCCCTCCTTGTACAGATGAGACAGCTGAAGCTCTGAGAAGATAAGAAGCTTCTCTAGGTTGCCATAAGTTGTCAGTGTCAGAGTCAGGATTTGAACTCAGCTCCTGGGATTTCAAGTTCAGCATTATTTCCACCTACCACTTCAATAAAGTGACTGTTATGTGCAAGACACTAACCTAGAAGCTAGAGCCATGAAGACAAAAAAAAAATTAGGCTCTACCTTGATGAAGCTTATGTTTGAGAGGGAGGTGAAAAAATATACAGATAAATAAATACAATATTTTTTTAAACTGGACTTGTGATTTCTTTTTTCTTTTTTGGAGGCAATCAGAGTTAAGTGACTTGCCCAGGGTCATACAGCTAATAAATACCTGAGACTGGATTTGAACTCAGATTCTCCTGACTCCAGGGCCAGTGCTCTATCTATGTGCTGGGCCACCCAGCTTCCCTTTTGTGATTTTGTTAGTGAAGGAAATTCTTGATGAATAAACTCCCTCCACAGTACAAATCAGCAAAAATTGTTCTGTAATTTATTGTCTTTAGATGGCTTATTGAGTAAGAGGTTAAGTAACTTACCCAGGGTCACAATAAATAGTATATGTCAGGGGAAGGACTTGAACCCAGGTCTTCCTGACATCTAGAGACCTGAATTTGAGGCCATCTCTCTATCCACCATTCTATACCAGTCGGTCTCACATACACAAAAAGGAATTTTAGGAGGGAGTAAGCTCACTAAATTATCAGAAAGGCAATCATTCAGTAATTAGCACAGAACAGACCCTCAGAAAAAACCAACGATCCTAAGAAGCAAATGTGTACTTTTTGGGGGGGGGGGGGGAGGTGGGCCTAAGCAATAGGGTTAAGTGACTTCCCCAGGGTCACACAACTAGTAAGTGTCAAATGTCTGAGGCTGGATTTGAATTCAGGTCCTCCTGATCCCAGGGCCAGTGCTCTATCCACTGCACTACCTAGGCGCTCCTAAGTACTTTACACATCCCTTCTCATTTTATCCTCATAACAACCCTGGGGGGGAAAAAGATGTTTTCTCCATCTTACGGTTGATAAAACTGAGGCGAATAGATGTTAAGTAATTTGTTTAGAGTCATACAGCTAGCAAGTATCTGAGCTAGATTTGAATTGAGGCCTTCTTGACTTTAGGCCTAGCAGTCATTACACCACCTAGCTGCCTCTAGCATAAATTTAGAGCTGGAAGGGGCCTTGGAGGCCATTGAGTTTAACCTCTTCATTCTGCAGATGAGGAAACTGAGGAACAGATAGGTTTAAGTGACTTTCACATAGCTAGTAAGTGCCTGAGGTAGATTTTGAACCAGGTTTTCCTGACTAGTGCCCTGCTATCTACTATGGCATGCTGACTTTTCATCCTCACAATAAACCCAGAGGTAAGTAGGATTTCCCTTAATTCCATTCCACTCCTTACACTCATCAAATACGTATTAGTAGAGACAGAACTACACATGGATCAGAGCTAGGCACCACTTGGGGCCAACACTATGCCCTAGGCTTTTGTGGTTTGCCTGTCATTCTTGAAGAGGACCATGACAGCAGGGAGGTGATGCCGTGACTTGCAAGTGAATTGGATTTAAGTGAGGCAAGGCTGTGCAAAGTCACCAGCCTTACTCTCTTCCGGAGCCATCTGGGTCCAGCGGCCAGATATAGGTCAGGAGGACTGGAGATGGCCTAGGATGCAGTGCTAAGGTGTTTCTGAATTCTCACTTTGACTGAGGCAACACCCAATCAGTGATTAGGGCTGTTGAAGAAGTGAGCTAAGGGATGGCCCCTTTAATTAAAAAAAAAATCAAACTGAGAAAGATCCTCAGGGTTACTGGTCAAAAGAAAAACAATTACTATTTACCTTCATTCTGATCCATCTGAGCCCAAACCATAACCATGAAGTGCTGCTTGGGTAGGGACCTGTTGTTGGCTAATCAATGAGAGCCAGAGTAAATTTAGGTTAAGGCATGGTCTTTAAGAAAGAAATGCAGCCAGTAAACTCCAAGATATCTACATAGTTTTCAGCCTGCAAAGTTGACCTTCCTTTGGGCAGAGCACCTCAGGTAAGGGTGGGAGAGGAGAGGAGAGGAATCTTTTTTTCTCCTTTCCATCCCCAAGTGCAGGATTCAGAAGACTCAAGATTGTAAACTTTGGTAGAAAGACTGTTGGGGTTATAAAACTGGGAGAACTAAAGGTTGAAAATTTTTTTAAATACTTTTTTCCCCAGAGTTTCCAGTGGATCTAGGGGCTCCTCAAGGATTTTGGAGCTTTGAGATGTGGGAGAGCAGCTCCCAGTTAAGGCAAGGAGGGAAGGTTACATTCGGAGAACTACAAGGTTGAGGCTGAGTCGTGGAGAAAAGCAAGCAGGGAACTCACCCAACAGGCATTGATTAGGAAGCTGGAACTTTCCAGAACGGAAGATTATATGTGTGTGTGTGTGTGTGTGTGTGTGTGTGTGTGTGTGTGTGTGTGTGTGTATGTATATATATATATATATATATATATACTTATATATATATATATAATATATATATATATATAATAGAAGGTTCCAGAAAAGAGACAGAGTAGGGCTACCAGGTAGATGTTTGAGCACAGAAAGCCTGATGTAAGAAAATCTAGACCCAAAAACGTCAGAGAGAATTTCTGAACTACCACACCTACTATATTTAAGGCCCTGAGGAATACAAAGATGAATAAAACAGTCCTTTCCCTGAATGATCTAACAAGATAAGACTCATACATAAATCCCATAATGGAATATAAGTCCACAGAAGTCCAACATACTATAAAAAATCAGAGGAAGGGACCACAGTAGGGACTGTCTCCATATTTTGTGGCCGTAAAATATCTGTACCTAAATTTCCGGGGGCTGAAGAGTGGTTGGGACCCTTCCTTGTTGCCCCCTTCTATACTATAACCTCCTGAAGGGCCCACACAGTGTCATAGCTCTTTACATTCCTTTGGTAACTCACATAAAGATTTCCATATAGTAAAGAAATAAAATCACTTCTTAAAAAAAGCTAGAAGAGACTTTGGAATTATC